AACGACATTATTTTGTATCAACATGGTCACAAGGAATACGTCTACAGTTTGGATTCAGTTATTAAATGCGAGTAAAATAAGATTTGCATTCAATAAGTAATTACATATACTTATTGCATTCAATGGGGGGGGGAAGGGAAGAAGTCTTACAGATGACACTGGAAATTACAAAAAAAAAGAATAAGGATCCCCACCCCCAAAGATGCAACACCAACAATTTTTTAAAGTTTCCTTCCACTATACTTGTAAGAAGATTTCTATTATGTCTTAATGGTTGCCACTTCTTTTAGGCAAACTAAAAGAAATGCGATAGCTTTGCTGTCATGTTCCTTCCACCCCCCCAATGCTTTTCTTCAGCTTTGAAAGTGTTAGCGAAGGGAACAGCTAGCTTTCCTTACATAAGGTTCATCAGCCAAATGAAATTTTCCTTTGCATCACAGAGACTTCTCCAGATTGCCATTGACTTACTTTTTCTACAGTGTCTAGCAGGAGCAGGATAAGTCTACTTTGTAAACGAATCTCCATAGCCTAATACCAAATAAAGCCATTAGCATCATTTGCTATTATAACTGAACTACAAATAAGAGCTTCAACTAGGCCTGTCACTGGTGTTAAGACACCTTATGAGCATTCCAGAAAGAAAAAAAAAAGAAACCCAGCCAGCTTCACATTTATGAAGTGAAGCTTGACAGGTGATTATTCGCATGCCTAAAGGCTCTGAAGTTTTTGATTTTACCTATCTAAAAAGGAGCAATGACACATGAAGCTTTGCAGATAAATTATTTTTGCTATACATAAATACTAAATATAGATTACAGGCAAGACCTTCTAAAGTTCTACTGCAATAATATAACTTTTTCAAGCAGAGCTATATGTAGCCAGTGGCTTTCAGCAGCCAGTAGGCTCCTTTAATTACCTGGAATATCATTATACTTCATTTCTTTATGCAGAAATAGAACCTATACCCAGGGTAGTTAATTTGAAATGCAACTGTGTATTCATTCCCAAAATTGAACAAATCCAACATTTATAGATAATCTGTATAGACAATGCTCCCACTTTCACGTCATCAACAGACTTCATCAGCATGAGCCTAACATTTGTAAAAACATTAAGAAAATATTAAGCAAGATCAGTCTCCTGGAGAATTCCACTAGTCACCTCTATACTTCAGTCCATATTGTATCAGCACCGATAAAGGAAAAATTGATATTACTGGCAATTGGCTTTTTTTGGCTGATATGGCCAACACTATTGTCGATAAATGCTGCATGAACGTGCACAGCTGCAGAATGCATGACGTCAGGAATGCAGTCTGGCAGCCTCGGGGTGGGGGGGGACACAGGG